TAGTATTTTGCTCACGATTTGTTTGTTTTTTCCAGTTTTTTGGTCCGCGAGGAATATAATATTCCCTGGTGGTGGACAATCTTCCCTCCCTCAGCTTAAGTGACTCTAAAGTTGGAAGATGACAGATGGTCCATCATCACCCCCTATCCGCCACCCGGGGAAGCGCTCGGTAGGAAAAACTGGAAAACTCCCCCGAGCCCCTTAATATAAGTCCGCCCACTTTCCCCAAAATATTCATTTATCTGAATTAAAAGTCTTCGTGCAAATTTTGAGGATTCTCTTATAGTTTCCCGATAAACGAATTTTTTTATTAATTTTATATATTTTTTTTCCTAGTCCGCTAAATTACCACACAAATCTTCACATTGATTGTTGTTCTTACAAAATTTGAGGATTTTCGCTTTAAGAGTTTCTTAGATATTCCTAATTAAAGTCCGCCCATTTTCTCCCCAAATATTCACATGGACGCTAGAGTTCTTCGTGAAAATTTTGAAGATTTTATCTCTAACAGTTTTCCAAATAAATGAATTTTTATATAATTTATATGGGATATTCCATTCCCCTTTTTTCCTAGTCACCTAAATTATATTCAGAAATGTTCACATCGATATCAGAGTCGTCCGTGCAAAATTTATATACGATTTCCAAACTCCCTAATTAAAGTCCGCCCATTTTCCTTCCAGATGTTCGCATGAACGTTAGAGTTATTCGTGCAATATTTTAAGATTCTAGCTCTAATAATTTCCAATATATGCGAATTTTTGTATATAATTCATATGGAAGCTGCCACGCTCCCTAATGCTAATGCTAAATACTCATACTGACCCTAATGTGGTTCCGACAAAATTTGAGAACTCTAACTGTTTTTTCTCAGATATACAAATTTAAAATCTTCTTTATTTGGAAGGTGCCACGCCCGTTACAGCTAAGTCACTCATACTATCCACATATATTTATGTAGATGTCAAAGATGTCCATACAAAATTTTAAGACTCTAGTTGTTGCTCTTTCTGAGATATGTGACTTTCAATATTTACTTTGTAAATTTGAGGAAAATCGGTCCAGCCGTTTAGCAGTCTATAAAGTCCAAACAAACATACAAACACACATTCATTTTTAGGATTAAATATGGGCCGATCCTCGTAAAATTTGGTTGCGTTTTACTCATGAATAGACATGGTTTTCTAATCAATTAACAAATATGTAGTACGGTTCCTATACAAAATACTTTGAAAAAAAATATCTCCAAACTTGAAAAACTGTTGAAAACTAAAATCAAAAACATGTTACATAAACATCATATATGTAATTTTAAATCACTCAGCTTCCTTCTAAATCCGTTGAAAAATTTTAAATCGGTTGAGATTCAACTAAGTTACTGTCTTATAAGTAATTAAAGGTACAAAAAACCGTTTTTACCCTTATCTCAAAATTTTGGAGGTGTTTGGCAAATTTCAAAAGCAAATTCTTGTTCTACTCGGATACACCCTTCAGAAAAATAGTGTCACTTCCCATTTCAACAAATATTTAATTCGTCTTTTTATATTACTTAGCTTCCTACACACTATGAGAGAAGTCGTTAGATTTTTATTTCATACTGCCAAAACAAAATAAAATGAAAATTGGTATGATTATCAAAAAAATCACATAGAAAATATATTTTGTTTTTACACTATCACTATACCCTACAACACCATGAGTATATTTTAAAAAATTTTATTTTTCATAAAGAAACTTTTATGTTGAATTTTACCTTAATTCCAAAGTATTTAAGCAATTTATTGATAAAAAAACTACTTTTCTAAATATAAATATATAATTATATAGGAGTATAGGTCAAACATGGGCCGATACTCATTCAATTTGGGAAAAGAATATATTTTTAAATAACAGTTAGTTATGTTGAGTTTCATTGCGATACAAATGGTTACAAGTCAATTTTAGACGTTTAAGACACGAAAATCTGCAGTGTCATTTATACTAATATAAAACATATTTGTGCCAATTTTTAGAGAGATAATAGTATATTTGACGTAATTACGGCATAAAAAGCCCAAATCGGTAGGTACGGTTGTATGGGGGCTAGGTGAAATAATGGACCGATTTCAACCATTTTCAATAGGCTTCGTCCCTGTGCCAAAAATGTTTGGTCCAAATTTCATCAAATTATCTTGAAAATTGCGGCCTGTACCTTGCGCACAAGGTTTACATGGACAGCCAGCCGGACGGACATGTCTTAATCGACTCAAAAAGTGATTCTGAATCGATCGGTATACTTTAAGGGTGTAGGACCAATATTTTTGTGTGTTACAAACATCAGCACAAACGTATAATACCCTCCCCACTATAGTGGTGTAGGGTATAATGAAACTTCAATTTGAAAAAATTCAAAGAAAAAACGTAAATTGTCATTTTGTTTCTGTTTTTATGTTTTTCTTTATTTAAATAAAAATAAAACTCAAATAAAACGAAAAAATCCAATCGTTTTGAAATTTTTTAAAAAATTTTAAAAAATCATACGATTTTCAATTTTCTATCCGTATTTTTAGTAAGTATTATTACATTTTGTATCTACACAATAATATTTTTAATTTTATTTGAAAATTTTGACGTGTCGTTTTATTGAATATTATGGTGTGTAGCCAGCTTTATTGATATGAAATAAGTAAGTCAGATAGGACATAACAGTACTTGTATGTTTTTCTTTGCGTTAACAAACTTTTTTATTGCACATATAGCGATAAAATTCAACATAATGAAGTTTTATAAGTTGGAACCAAAATCTATGCCCCAATGCTTTAAAGGAACCAACATTTATCTACTCATTCCTATAAGATTAAGTCCATTATTGACCATTCTTTCTATATCAATTAAAATAGTTTTAAATAATAAAAAAATAACATTTGCTGCTAGAAAATTTTTATTGACAAGGAAAAAAAAATATTTCTCAAATATATGTGTTTCAAAACAATAGAAAAAAATATAAATTGAATAATAACGAACAACATTTATTTTTTATGTTGCCTAAAACAGTTATTGTGTAACTTTTAATTATATTTCTTAAAAAAGGGATATTTTTTGATTTCTAAAATTTTGATAACAGTTATTTTAGGTCCTTGCTATTTATTATATAATTCTATTTATAAATTTTGAAAATCTAAATTTTTTCTGAAAAATTTAATATATTTGAAAAATTTGCTAGAAATATAAAAAAAATATTGAAACTTCAAAAGGAAATTTATTCCTACATACCGCTAAGTAAATACTATCGCCGAAACAATGGTATCTTCTAATTTTAGTAAGGAAAATCCATATCTTTCTATTCATCCTGAACTTTGATGATTTTTGATAAAAATACAATATATGTATGTACATTAGACCGACTCACTCTGTATGGAAAGCAAAAACGTGTTTTTGTTACCCCTTTAAAATTTACCTTGCTTTGTTTTATGATGATTCCCAAAATATTTTAAGTCTAGCGATGGCCATTCGTGAGCTGAACGAAATTTAAAAAAGGTATTTTTGAATTATTTTTTTTAAATTTTAGTTTTGTTTTGAAACAATATATTCAATATGGGGTATCGTTTGAAAGGGGGTTTAAAGCCGCGTCCAATAATGTATTAATCATAAAAAACCTATGAGCAGATTGTCATATTCTAAAAAATTTAAAATTTTTAGGTTTTTCATTAATATAAATAAAATTTATCCACAATTTTCCAAATTTTGAACACCACTAGACGCGGGTTCAAAAAACCTATTGTATATTTTGTTTAAGAAAAAATATGTTAAATGTAAAAAAATAACTAAAAAGAGACTTTTTGGTAACCGGTCCAGCTCACGAACGGCCATCGATAGACTAAAAATATTTTGGGAGCCATCATAAAACAGAATAAAGATTTTTTGAAGCTGGGTAAAATTTTGAATTGAACATGAAAAATCGTGTCCCCCATGGGATATTTTCTTAAAAACTGTCCAGCTCACGAACGGACTCTTTTTGCCCCCGTGGATCCGCGCCTGACACATTGAAACAAAATAAACCAAAATAGAAATACCTGGGAAATGTACTATTTCTTTGATAGCTATAATTGAGTACAATATGAATCTGTTTTTGAAATTTGCAAAACACTTCCAAAATCTTGAGATATGGATAAAACGATTTTCACCAATGTTAGTCTTTTTAAATAGTAGTTTAGACACAATTTTTAAATTTTTTCTTTTTTACTTTTGCAAAATTATTTTGATGTTTCCTGTCCTAAAAACTAAAAAAATCCGTTTTTACATTTTAACATTTCCAAAAATAAAGTAAAAAACAAAACTATAAAAAATATGAAAACATTAGGTGTAAAGAATTAAATATGTAATAAAAATATGCGGTTATGAATGAAATATTAGGAAATATGCTGTAAGAGACAATATATGCAAAAATATGTTCTAACAAATTGATGCTAAAATTCGATAAACTGTCTGAAATATATGATATATAGTAAATATTTTTGGTTGCCCTGGTTATAAGTTATATAGAATAGAAGAAACACATGTTTTTAAAAATGTCAAACTTTGTTTTGAAAAATGTCAAACCCCCCGCAACTCAGAGAATTCTTATACGATCTTGTTGAAAAATTGTATCTAAACTACTATCCAATGCTAATGATATTATCCCATTCAAAAGTTAGGTCACTCGACATGAAATCCCCCATATTATAATATTTCATACTATTGCAAATAATTTAACTTGGAAAAAAACCTGAGATCTTTAATTGCTGTTGAAAAAAGAAATTTACGCAATTGTCATTTCGAAAGTGATGGGAAATCAGTGTTGATAAGGAAAATTACAGAATTTTACTCGAGCTCGTATGTAGTAATTCGGTCCCTGATTTTTAACCGAAACTCGTTTCCGATTATGTTCACATTTAATCGATTTCCGTCACGGGTTATTATCCTACTACAGTGAACCCAATAATACCATAACACATGTTCTATTTCTTTTAAATAAAATTTAGGCGAATGTAGCTGACCCTGATCTCACACCTCTGGAATTGTATCGAATTTTATTGAATCAAATGCAGTATGAAGAGAAACTAAAAAAACAGTTTGAAAAAATTCTGGAAGAAGCTAATGCTGTTTTGGATCAGCGAAAAATTGAACTGGAAAACTCGTGTCTTGAATTTCTCATTTTTGATTCTCTTCGCAATAAAGGTGCACGCACAAAACGTCTACAACAGGTAACTATAACTTTTTAAATATACATTAGTGGATCTTTTGACATTTTTGTATTTTTATACCCACCATCAAAAAAGATGGGGGTATATTGATTTTGTCATTCCGTTTGTAACACATCGAAATATTGGTCATAGACCCACAAAAGTATATATATTCTTAGTCCTCATTAAATTCTAAGACGATCTAGCCATGTCCGTCGGTCCGTCTGTCTGTCTGTTGAAAGCACGATAGAGTCCGAATGGAAAGAGCTAGAGGATTGAAATTTCACATAAATATTTCTTATAGGTAAAGTTTGTTTGGTATTGAAAATGGGCAATATCGGTCCACGTTTTCGGATAGCGCCCATACAAGTGGCACCTCGAAAAGCAGCTTTAACAGCCATAACTTGTTTAAAAATACGAATATAGCGATGAAATTCGACATTCTAATAATCCAAAATCACTATGCAAAATTTTATGAGGATCGGTCCATAATTGACCCTACCCCCCATATAAGGTCCCCTTCAAAAAATGACTTTAACGCTCATTACTGTCTTAAAAATACTAGTATATAGATGAAATTCGACATAAGTAAGTTTCATACGAGTCAAAATCTATCTAAAAACTTTTATGAGGATCGACCCATAATTGACCCTACCCCCCAATATAAGGTCCCCTTCAGAAAATTACTTTAACGCTTATAACTGGCCTAAAAATACGTGTATATAGATGAAATTCGACATAAGTAAGTTTCATTCGAGTCAAACGAGGTTTGATGGTGGGTATATAAGATTCGGCATAGCCGAATATAACACTCTTACTTGTTTTACCTTTAATTTTTATACCCTTCACCTTCGTGAGAAGTGTATATATAGGTTTGGATTTCCAATAATAATTTCTATAATATAATTTTCCCACCCTAAAAAATTTAGATATTCCTAGTCCTTATAGATAGAAGAGTCGATTAAGCTAAGATTTGTGCATGCCAATAATAAACAAACAACAAGAACACAAAGAATCATAAATTTTGTTCTTATAATTGCTTGTTTATAAAAACAAAGTAGAAACACGTTTCGAAAGAACCTACAAAATAACACTTTTTGGTACTTTTTCGTTCTTTAAAAGGGGGACCATGCGCCACTTTTTTTGAGGTGGCCTCAAATTAAAACCACAATACATATTCTTAATTTTTTCTTAGTTCGGATACTTAGATATGTTGGCTTTAGTTTTATTCCTTTCAATCTTTCCTAAGTCATCCTCATGTACATATTTTTTTTAACTTTTCCGCACTGACCAAAAACGGCGATACCGCCCCATCCAGGGGGTAAATGCGCCAAGGGGAGGGGGCAGATATGTCGTTAGTAAAATAAAAGAAAAAATTACAAAAATATAAACATATTTTGCTGTTTTATACTTTAATTCATTAAACAAAGTATAATAAACCAGATATTTATTGTTTATTTCACAAAACTTAACAAAAAAATTAAAACAAATTATTACTGATTTTTTCTATATTTAACCAAATCACAAGCATTACATATATTTGGCGCATGTGCCCCACGGGCTGTTCTGGGGTTTAGTTTCAATTTTTTTCGGGCTTCAAATTATATTATCGAAAATATTATTATTTCTTATTGTTCACTATTATTGACGTTCTAATACTGACCAATATATTTTTTCTATCACAAAAACTAAAAAAGTTAGCACAAAAAGTCTACACAGTGAAATATTTTCACAGCCCTTTGAAAAATAATTAATCATGTCTGCCTCCCATCACATGTAAAGTTAATGTTTCAAATTTTCAGGGATGATAGATAATCGATAAACGAAAACAAAAATTGATAAAATCGATTACTCAGTTTTCAAGTTATTCGCTATTGGCAGATGTGCCCCTATGGCGTATGATCCCCCTTCTACCCTAAGTGAGAACCTATAAAAGGTGACTTTTTGGTAGATGTTCGTTCTTCGAAAGGTACTTTTTGAATTTTCTATAATATTAAACCTAAGAACACACAATTAATCATCTATAGCTTTTTCCTTCATTAAAAGGTATTTTTCGAAATCTATATAATATTGAACCAATAAATATGAAACTAAGCATGTTGAACCCGGATTAAGGGAGAACCTATAAAGGTGGATTTTTTTGGTACTATTTCGTTCTTCAAAAGGTTAAGTTAAAGTGCTCCAGAGTTTCACAGGCCTCCCATATGCTCTACATTCTTCTGAATCCGCACGGCCAATTTTGTATAGATGTGCTCGTAATCCTGTGTGTCCACTCAGAATAAATATCATCATACTAACTTCTGACTTGCTCATTTTGAAGAGATTTTTCGTCTTATTCTCATTAGGGTCCCTCCATAGGATCTTTGTGGTTCTACCCACCGTTTCATTATCCTAAGACGCCTTATGGGATTCTCTCACCCATATTTTTAATTCTGCATTTGTTGCGTTGAATGGTTTTGCAATTGTCAGGTTAACTACTTCGACCTCCCTTCCCTTTAAAACTATTACATTCGCCCTTTCGTTGCCAAGTGGCCTGGTACCCATAAGATGTAAACCTTAATTCTGGTAGAGTATTCAGTTAAAGCTTTATTACAATCCAATACGATCTTAGATTTAATTCTATCACCTGATATCGCCCTAATTGATTTGTCGGTAAATATATTAAGGGCTGTGGGAGCCATATTTATTCCAATCCATAGGATCTTTGTGGTTCTACCCACCGTTTCATTATCCTAAGACGCCTTATGGGATTCTCTCACCCATATTTTTAATTCTGCATTTGTTGCGTTGAATGGTTTTGCAATTGTCAGGTTAACTACTTCGACCTCCCTTCCCTTTAAAACTATTACATTCGCCCTTTCGTTGCCAAGTGGCCTGGTACCCATAAGATGTAAACCTTAATTCTGGTAGAGTATTCAGTTAAAGCTTTATTACAATCCAATACGATCTTAGATTTAATTCTATCACCTGATATCGCCCTAATTGATTTGTCGGTAAATATATTAAGGGCTGTGGGAGCCATATTTATTCCAATTCAATTTACACATTCCGTTATTGCTCGGACTTCTGCCTGGAAGCTTGTGTTATGATTAAGTAAACGGTGGTATATTTCTGTTTCTGGGTCTTCAATATAGAACCACAGGCCCACTTTATCCCTCAATTTAGAGCCATCCGTGTAACAGTGGATTCCTACTCGTATTTGCTCTAATGTATTTGCTTGACCAAGACATTCCATCTGGTATCACCGTTTCAAAATTTCCGACATATCCTATGTCTGGTATGCGATCAGGCACGCCCGATGACTGTGTATAACCCTCCAATGTGTCCAGTACACATTGATGACGTGTCCTATAACCTATGTAAAGTAAAGAGCCGTTCGGCTGTAAGCGCCGCCTCATATCTTAAATATGTTCCAATGGGTGGAATATCTAGCAAAGTTTCCATATTAGTACTCATGGCACCACTTATACCCAAGCAGCATGTACGCTGAACTCCCTGTAATAGTTTGATATTACACTTTTTGTCCAAAGCAGTCCACCAGATTATTGAAGCATAAGGTAGAATTGGTCTAATTACTCTCATATAAACCCAATTTGTCATAGTCCATTTCATACCTATAGTTCTCCTACATATCGCCCAGATGCGGTGTGCCTTGTTGATCCTATCCTCTATGTGGTGTTTCCATTTTAATTTCTTCTTGCCCAGGAAGCAAGGTTCAGTATACGTGAAAATATTTGTCTCTCTTGTGAAAAGACAGATTTCCGTCCTCGCAGGGTCTCCTCAGCTCTTCTACACAAGTAATTTGGATCCTTTCCCTTTAAAAGTATTACGATATCATCTGCATAGCAGACAGGTCTAAGTCCTTTCTCAGTAAGGGTCCTTAGGAAGCTATTAATCGTGGTAACCCAGAGTAAAGGTGACAAAATGCCTCCCAGTAGTATACCGCGAAATATCATTTTCCTGGTAGTTATTTCGTACATATCGCAGCTTATCCATATGTTCGTTAGAATGTAGTTGATCCAGTTACGGAGCACCCGGTCAACATAAAACTGGTCTAGGGGTTGGATAAGAGTATCAGTGTGCACGTTAATGAAAGCGCCTTCGATGTCAATGCATACCGCCAGTGTATACAGTATACAGAAGGATCGAAATTCCATTTTTTTAGCAGAAATTAAAGTTATTTTTTGACTTTTATTTTTTCGGGAAGAAATAAAGGTTATTTTTTCGATCGTTAATAAAAGTTATTTTTTGATTTTTATTATTTTGAGCAAAAATAAAAGTTATTTTTGGATTTTTATTTTTTTGCGCAGAAATAAAAGTTATTTTTTGATTATTATTATTATTATTATTTTTTTTTTTTTTTTGAGCAGAAATAAAAGTTATTTTTCGAGCAGTTATAAAAGTTTTTTTTTGATTATTGGAAAATAAACGATTCTATAGCGAAAACTTTTTTTCTGCTCAAAAAAATAAAAGTCAAAAAATAATTTTTATTTTTGTTCAAAAAATAAAGGTCAAAAAATAATAATAATAATAAATAAATAATAAAATAATCAAAATGGAATACTTGATGTTGTTCTCTACTAGAATTCTAATACTCCTTCTGTCCAATCCTAATAGTGTTCTGGTTGCCTTGGCATTCAACCTCGGCCATAAGGCTTTGGATACCCTGCAATCCATCCTACTATGCCAGGATTGGTTGGAGGAGTTCCTGAATTTGTCGGAAATTAACCTATAGTAGTAGCAGATAGGAGGTTTTTCCGACCTAACTCCACTATTATTGTCCAGATCTGACCCTTGTCTGGCCAGTTCATCTGCGATCTCATTACCCTGTATATTACAGTGCCCTGGAACCCAACACAACCTGATTGTATACAACTCAGATAGCTCGCGGATAGCATCCCTGCAGCTGCTTACTAATCTGGAATGAACTACATGACATTTCAGGGCCTTAAGTGCTGCCTGACTATCAACATAAACTGTCACCTCCGACCCCCTTCTAATGTGTGTTTTTATCAGTTCCA